CAAATTTAATGAACTTTTTTTTGTTTTAATTTTACAAATATATAGAATCAAAATAAAAACTTCTAACAAATTTGATCAAGTGGTTACTGAGAAATTGTCACTAGAAGTTTAAAGAAATTGAATGTTTTGACTTCGGAATTAAATTAGAAAGGATCTATAGTGATCTTCAGCCCAGGATTTTCTTGATATAAGGAAACCCATTAGTGAAAGATATATTAGTGAAAGGTGTATTAGAAGATGAATTAGCAGAAGAAGGTAAATTAGCCGAAGAAGGTGAATTAGCAGAAGAAGGTGAATTAGCCGAAGAAGGTATATTAGCAGAAGGTGAATTAGCAGAAGAAGGTGTATTAGCAAAATAAGAAGAAGCCATTGTTCAAAATAGGATAACAAGTATGTGATAAATTTATTTGAATTTAGTTTTAATATTTAAGTTATGCAATTTTATTTGTTAATAACCAAATTACAAAAATTGAGTCTTTTAACTTTTTTTTCTCTATTTAAATATGTCTAACAAAATTGTGCATAATGATTATGCATTATAACGACCGCTCGCAATAACCGTTTGTGTATAACGATCGCTCATGATGATCACGCATAACATTCACGCATGACAATTGTGAATACAAATGTTCGAAATAACTATACATAACATTTTGCGCATAACGATCGCTCATGATATTTATGCGCATAACGATCACTCATGATATTTACGCGCATAACAATCGCTTATAATAATTACACAAATAATCGCTTATGATGATCACGCAAATGATTGCTTATGATAATCATGCATAATGATTATTCGTTGAATTTATATAGTAAAATTTGAAAATATGTAAAGCAATTGTGATTAATCAAATAAATAAATAAACAAGAAGTCCAACTTTTTTTAACGTAAAAGTTTCTTAAATTAGCTTTATTTTTTTGTTTATTACATCTTTTATTTAAGTATAATAATTAATTTATAAATCCACTATACTAATAGATTATTCCAAATATATTTTGTTTTTCCTTTGTGACACTCATAAATTATTACTACCTGACCTATAATAGCATACATATGGGCAAGTTTACTTTTCCTAGTTTAATTAACAAACTTCAGTAATAGATTCAAATTTAGTCAACCTAAATACTACTAGTAGTTAGTTAGTCATAATCTCTACAATGAAAATTTCTTGTTACAAAAAAAATAAAAAAACAAATTTATTAAAAATAAATACCTTTTAATACCTTTGAAATTAATTTTGTACTAATAATTTTGCTAGTGCACAATTCATCAGGATATTTTGATACTGGCAATGATTTAACAACTTCATCGGCTTCTAAGACTTGCTTTTTAATTTCATTATCATTTGAACTAGCTATCTTATCAAGCCAACCACTTACTTATAGCTGCCCCCAAGTAGAGATTCGACCTAGCATAAGTTTAAGCCCCGAATTACTCACTAGAATATAAATATTACAAAATAAAGTCATTCCTCTATCTAACCGTATTACTTAGCCAATTCAATATAGCATTTGAGTTCTAGGCGCAAACTCTGGTCATAATCCTTTAAAGACGTCTAAAGAATAAAAATAATTTCATGGTTATATCAGATATGTATACTGAATTACATGAAAAAATAGTAAACAAATTTCGAAAGCAAGAAAAGAAAATCTACTGCCCCAAGTAGAGATTCGACCCGGCATAAGTTTAAGCCCCGAATTACCCACTAGAATATAAATATTACAAAATAGAGTCATTCCTCTATCTAACCGTATTACTTAGCCAATTCAATATAGCATTTGAGTTCCAGATGCAAACTCTGGTCATGATCCTTTGCAAATCCCTATTCCAAGTTTAGTGTCCATTAAAAGACATTAGGAGCTTCCCGAATTTGATCACTTTGATAGAAGCAAAGTGTGCATCTAAAGAATAAAAATAATTTCATGGTTATATCAGCTATATATACTGAAAAATGGTAAACAAATTTCGAAAGCAAGAAAAAGAAAATCTAGAATCTTTCAACTTATCACTTTTTAAACCCTTAATCATTAGCAGATTTTGTAATAAGCATAATAAAACTACTTGTCAAAATTCTAAGGGAGTTTGTGTCTTTTGCGAACTAGAAGAACAATCGAAGCCATTATCGCTATAAGGTCTTTGCCCAGTTGATATTTTTGCCATAATAACACAAAACCTATCCCTTAAATTGTAATACAGGCAAATTTGCCTGTGTTTTTATTAAAAAGTTTAATTTTTTTAATAAAAACTTAT